TCTCATCTAATCCACGGAAGTGTGTGTGTGTGTGTGTGTGTGTGTGTATGTGTGTGTGTGTTAGAGGCAAGGTCTTGCTATATTGCCCAGGTTGGAGTGTAGTGGGCTATTAACAGGTGCAGTCATAGTACATTACATGTAGCCTTGAACTCCTGGGCTCTGGTGATCTTCCCACCTCAGCAACAGAGTAGGTGGGACTAAAGGCGTGTGCCACCATGCCTGTATTTTAATTATTTATTGACCGTGTTCCTTCTGAGGTGCCTAGGAGACATCTTGATACAGATGCTCAACAGTAGGTCCAAGAAGAAGAAAACAAAATCTGTGCCAAAGTACATGTCCTTGGTTGACAATGATATTTGAGAATTGTCAGCACACATATCATAGAAGTATTTGGGGAGAAGGGCCTAAATGGTTCACAATTGCACACTCTCCTCTAGTAATAACATTAGCACACTGAGCAATAGCAAGGGGCAGGCCAAAGAATATGAGCTCTAGGAGGGGACTACAATAAATGGCTAAGACAATGACAATAAACAACTTAAATAATATCACAGAAGCTGAAGAATCACAAGAAAGAAGCAGTGAATGGTGTCAAAAAATAATGATGCTAAGCAACAAATGTAGGGAATGCGACATTAAGAGGTAGACTGAGGAGGACTGTCCACCTTACAGAGTGCAGTCTCCGGGTGGTGGGAGTCGCCAGGCTCTGGGGAAATGAGGAGTGAACAAAGAGCAGAGTGGCAATTTCTGAGCTGAACTGTGATAGAAATAAAAACCTTAAAAAAAAAAAAAAAGCAGCAGCAGCCAAAGAGAATATGGCTCTAGTTTTTTTATAAAATACAAGGGATGTGAATTTTATGCCCACAAAAAGGGGAGGGGCAGAGAGAGTAGACGCAGTAAAGATGGAGAGGTTAAAGATACAAGCCAGAGAAAAAGACGGCTGAGAAAGCCACCCTAAGCAGGGGGGACTGTGGAATCTAGAGTGAGGTAAGGAAAGAAAGTGGCTCTGACCAAAAGAGGAGCGCCCTCTTCCTCGGGAAGAGCTGGAAGGAGTAAGTGCAAATAAAGGGAGTTCTGAAACTTTCAAATAAAATCCAAAGCCAATTCATGTTCTCAGAATGAAGAGGGAAGTGGCGGAGTATAAGGAACGGAGAAGGGAAGAGGGGGCAGCAATGTAATACCAAGAAAAACTGCCAGGCCACAATAAAGGTCCACTCACAGCCCTTCAAAGACCTTGGGACAGACAAGTGAGGATGAAGTGAAAAAAGAAGAAATACATTTTCAGTTGGAAAGAGTGGTGCAAATAAATACAAGGCGGGGACAGTAGAGGGAGGTGGCGTATGAGGGAAACCACGGGGGCTCTCGCAGTACTTCAACAGCTTCAACAGACACGTTTTTTTTTTTTTAGCTTACTGCCTAGTAATAAAAACAAAGTTCAAGTGTGAAAGAATACATCTACCTTTATAGCAAGTTTTGAAAAAAAGAAAAAAAAACTCTATCTCAAATGAATTCTCAGAAAGCATTCAGGAAACTTGATGCATAGAGCACAACTTTGTGCAAATGACAGTCTGAAAATATACTGCATCAGCAATTGGTAATATACTCGCCAATTTTGTGATCTAAACTAGTATTTTTAATATCAACTTCGAATCTGTTGCCTTCCCAAATACTTACTGAAGTATAAATGTTTTAAAATCAAATTACTGACACTTTAACTGAAAGCAGGCTCTAATGCAACTTACAGAATTACATCATATACCCTAAGCCCTCGCCAGGTAAAATTCACCACAATAAACATTTTCCTAAATCAACAAACAAGTTTTGCCAAAAGCACTAAGGAAAATGAAGTCCCACATCAATTAAATTTCTAAAAATGAAAAAGATAAAACTATGTCAGCTATCCCTGATCACAGTATAAGCCAAATGAAACATCGATATCTAACATGAAGCAAAAAAAACACCTCTGAGTGTTTTAAAATAATGAAAGAATGAAAGAAAGAATACAAGCTAACTAAAGTACTCTAAAATCACCTTCCTTTCTTTATAATTATCCCTAATTACTCAAAAAGACAATTCAAGATGTCTAGGCATTATTGCTAGATGATCTACAAATTTAAGTTTCAGAAAGTTCTGTAGGTTTTTCCTTTCATAGTCTTTATTTTTTAGAGCAGTTTCAGGTTTGCCACAAAATTGAGGAAAAAGTACAATTTTCATACACCTCCTGCCCCACCCCCCAGCCACACAACCTCTCCCACGATCAGCATCCCCCACCAGAGTCCGTGAGCCTGCCCTGACACGTCATCATCACCCAAAGTCCACCGTTTACATTCAGCTTCACTTTTAGTGCTGCACATGCCATGGGTTTTGACAACTGCATAATGACACATATCCACCATTAGGGTATCTCATAAAAAATAGTTTCATGCCCTAAAAATCCTCTGTGCTCTGTCTGTTCATTCCTCCATCTCCCTTAGCCCCTTTTCACTAACTCCATAGCGGTGGCTTTCCCAGAAAGTCATATGGCTGGAATCATACAGTGTGCAGCCTTTTCAGATAAGCTTCCTTCACTAAGTAATAGCATTTCTGGTTCCTCCATTTCTTCCATGGTCTGATAGTTCATTTCTTTTTAGAGCTGAGAAAATATTCCATTGTGGATGTACCACAGTTCATCTGTTCACCTACTAAAGGACATCTTGGTTATTCAATACTAACAAATGTATTGTTCAAATGCAGGGGGTTACTAATAACTTGGGTGGGGGGAGCAATGCAGGGAAAGGGGACTCATGGGAACTCTATACTTTCTATTCAATTTTTCTGCAAACCTGAAATTCCTCTAAAATATAAAGTCTATAAATAAATTTAAAAATAGTTGTTTAAAAAAAGCTTATTTTGCATTCCATTGTGGCACTTTTTCTGTTACTAATTTTTTAAAAAACTGAATAATGTCTGAAATTTGGATTACAAAATATTTAAACACCAAAAATTGAGGAATCATTACGGATCTTTTAAAATTGATGATACTGGTTGCCTAGCACTTTTTATTGATATGAGAAATATTTTAATTCACATTTCTAGCTCAACTGACAGAACCACCTAGAAATGAGTTTTTATAATGTATATAATACACACACAAACATAGACACACTTTTGCCCTTATTCTCAAAGAGCTTTATCTAGAAGTTCAACTAAGAAACTACAAAGTGCTCAAACAAAACTTGTCTAACAAAATCACTTTTCTTGTTAGTCTGAGATAATAGCAAAATACATATATGTGCCAAACTCCTATAAATCATATGGTGTCCCTGGAGTCTTAAAAAATGTCCAGGTACATGTTACAACAACCTACATGTAGTTGATCATTTTTATACAGATTCTATTAAAAAGATTATACAGGGACTCAGATTTTGCCTGGCTCTGCCGTTGTGTCCCTGTGCAAGACATTCACTCTCCTTTCTGTGAATAAATAGATAAATAGTTTATCTATTTATAAAAAGCAGGATTAAACTAATTGAACTAGCTTATTTCCAAAGATTCATTTCATTGTATTAAGATTCTACACATTTTCAAAAGTGCAACTTCATAGACTTAGGAAGTCAATCACAAATGTTCTTGGCCATCACCCAAAGAGTTTGGTCTAGAATATTCCCAATAGCTCAGCAAATAATTCATCTTCAATGCTATAAATATTATAAACAGGAATTAGGCTAAACAGAAATTCAAGAAGTCTATCACATGGAAACACAAGGGCCATGCTAGATATACTAAGCAGAAATTTATTTTATTTTTTAAATTTTTTTAAAACTTGTCATTGACTTGAAGCTCAACTAAGTAGAAATTTAAACAAGGGGGTATATATTATCTCCCATGGTACTGCTGCTCACCAGACCCCCTGGATTCACCTTTCCTGTCAAATCAGAGGCTGATCACAGGACAGGCAGTACAAAGTCAAGACTGAATGTGGAAGAAAGAAATCACCGTCTGCTGGCTAGAACCAACCCCACGAGAAAACTAAGGTACAGAAAAGGGAGGCAATAGGTCCAAATCACAAAATCTGTTAGCTGAAGAGGCAAGATTAGTATTCAGATACCCTCAGGTTCAGTATAATCTTTGTCTCTATTTTCCAGATCCTTCTCTGATGCAGTTGTTAGGCATCTCTGTAAAGGTGTCTAAGCACTGAGCGTAATTAGGCATGGACTTCAGGAAAACATTAGAAACAACTTCAAACAGGGTTCCTGAAATCAACTGCATTACTGCAATACAACAGCAGATTAACCAAGCATTTGTACATAGATACAATCTTTTAAATTATATGGTGTTAAGCCTATGAAAAATATATAGAAAACAAGAGACAGTATGTACCATATTTTGGAACTTAGGTTTTAACGTTTCTTGTATCCATCTGCTCTGTAAAAATCCAAAACAAAAGCCACAAAGCCTTCTAATGCACAGGATAACAAAAGAAATACATATTCAATTCATCTCTTGCAAATTATGTACATGACTCCTGGCACTGCTGTCAGCCCGCATTCCATGTACTGAATCCTAAGGAATCAAGGCAGTTCCACTGGCATTACTGAGCAGCAGCGCCATTTCCCTCACCTGCAGGGAATAATGCTCTATTTCCTCTGCTCTGGTCTGATACCAGTCCATAACCTTCTCCACCGTAAGCTGGGTCGTCCTGAACCTTAGTAACTCAGGCTGTGCAGCATACAAGAATTCGCTTTCATCTTGGAGACTCAGCTCAACAACCATTCTGTGAAGCACAGAAGGATCAATTAATAACTGACTAGAATGCTGGAAAAACATGCAATTTTGTAAGAGAATGACAGGGACAGAGATGGGGTGAGAGTAGGTTACGGAGACAGGGAGTATACATGTATCTGGCTTGTGTGCATATCATATCACATGCACATGCATCCTCACAAGATAAATTAGACATTTTTTTGGATGCTTAATTTATTTTCCCCTTGGTTTTCCCGACTTAAAAAATCAGAAGGCATCATACATCAAAACTACTATGCCACAAATCAATCAAATAAGTATTAACAAAATCAAAATCACTGAGGGAAGCTTTTACAAAATATACACAGCTGCGTACCTACCACAGGCCCACTCGATCAAAATCACCTGTGCTGGCCAGCCAGGCCTCGTTTAGGAAAATACTCCCTGTGATTCCAACTTGAATTTGAATCAAGGAAACTTGTTTTCGATGTTCATAAAAATAAGAGGAAACAGCTTATTTATGTTGATCTTCATGCTGACATTGCAAAGAGTAGGACTACTTGATTCCTTATCAAGTGTGAAAAAAGGAAACCACATTTTGGAGGAACATACACAGGGCTAACCTCGTGGGGATCCCAGATTATGAGGAGTTTTTAATGAGGATGATGATGGCCAATTGCCTTCCATGTCGGACAAAAAAACAATAGATTTAATAGAAAGTAACAAACTTAAGAAATCTCAGACGGGCATATGTAAAAATGGCGTGTTCCATTAGGCGCAGTCATTCATCTAAAGCAAGCTGATAGTACAAGACTGGTGCTACAATCGTTCTTCTTGTAAGGCAATGAGCTTTGGAGTCAGAATAGAATCAGACATACAATTCCATCATTGAAAGCTGTGACACCTGCAAATTACTTAACTAAAACTAGACTAAGATCTCATTATTCCTACCTACTCCTTTTATTTATTTTATTTAAATGGGAATAACACTACACAAGAATGTTGTGAAAATTCAAAATAACAGAGCACTGCCTGGCACAAAGGAGGTGCTTAATTTTATTTACTGTTATTAAAATTATTAGCAAAAACACAGCCTGTAAAGATTTGGGCATTTTATCCACATGACTTAGACAACCTACTTTGCTTATAACTTGCACTACAGTAAGGCCTCCCTATACGTGGCATGGTCCTTCACTTAACTAATCTTCCAGTGTGGTTAACATTCTTCCAGGGATTCCCCGCCCCACCCCGCCCCCCGCCACACGAAGCACATCACTCCTCCTGGCATCTCTTACATTTGCCCTATTTTCGCAGGGAAAAGGAGCCAACAGCGACATTGAGTTCCTCTGATACTTCTTTCAGTTCTGCCTATTTATTCTCTGCTCAGCATCCTTTGATAGAACTGACCGCTCTGCTTCTAGAAATGCACTTCACCCCTCGCCAGCCTTCCGTCACACTATAATGCATTCCTCCCACTGGCTCTGCCTTCACAGTCACCTTTGCTACAGCATCCTCCTCTCTCCAAGCATGAGTACCTGCAAAGCCACAGGCCTGTTAGCCCAGCTCTCTTCCTGCTTTCCACTCTCCCCTTCAGCTCTACCCTATGAATTACCACAGACATTACAATAGCAACAGGACATTTTATAAACCTTTAGGTGTTTAACTTCATATCTGACTAATGATTTTAGCTGATACAGAAATCTATAGCAAAAAAATATTCTCCTCCAAAAGTTTCAAAGGATTGCTCCATTGTTTTCTAGTTTCTAGTGATTTTGCTGAGGTGTCTGAGGTCATTCTGATTCCTAATTTCTTTTATGTAACATGTCTTTCTCTTCAGAAGACTGTATCCCTAATATTCTGGGAGGTCATGTGGTATGCTGTAATGTAATAGGCATTTCTATCTGAGGATGCATAATCTTCAATTCAAAATAACAGGCTTGAATTATTTCTTATAATTTCCTCCCCTCTATTTCCGTGACATCTCTTTCACCTATAACTTGAATATTAGACTTGTTGTTTAAATATCTGCTCTCTTATTTTCTAGCTCTGTATTTTGAACCTAACTTCTAGGAAGATTTCTCGCTTTTATCTTCCAACTCTTCTGATTTTTATATACCAACTATCATATTTTTAATGTCCTAAAGTTCTCTTTTTTCTATTTTATACAATGCTATTGATATTTCACAAATTCAGTGTCTTCTCTTATCTCTAGGTACTATAAATGATAATTTTTGAAGTTTTCTTCTCTGTGTATGGTATCGCTTTCTTTCAGTTCCATTTTCTGTATGTTTTGCCTTTCTTGTTCATTTGTTCTGCCTGCTGGAGTCTAACCTCAGATATCCAGGAAGCTCTGCAGGGGTGACAGCACCTGTTCATTTGTTGGCTTCACTATGCCCTGAGGTGCACTAACCTTTGAGGACCATATCTCAGTATCGACAAGGCTCTTTTCAGAGGTTACTCATTTCTCCAGAAAAGAACTCTCCATACTTCTACTTGGGGAATATGCCTGCATCTAGGAGCAGGGAGTGGGAAGGAAACCAGAGTTTGGACATTCCAATCATACATTTTCTAAATACCCAGATTTTCAAGCCAATTACTCACTTTATCCTATGCTGTGCCTAATATCCAGTAATCTGAAAGTTTTCTAGCTCAATTTAGAGGCCCTCTGCCTCAATGCATGAGGGAAAAAAAAAAAAAAAAAAAAAAAACTCTTATCTCACATGAAAAAAAAAGAAAACAAAAAGGAAGGAGAGACAGTGAAGGAGTATTTGCCAGACTTTGAGGCGTGGGGATAAAGAGATTCCAGTGTTTCTCATATGAATTATCAGTCCCACCCCACTTCCACAGTACTAGATGCCAACACATTCTGAGGCTTCCAAAAGTTAAATCTGACAAAAATCAAAATTAAAACTGATCAAGAACAAAACTGCACACATGCCATAATTACGACAATAACAAATATGTTCATATCCCTATATGTGAAAGACTGAAAGGGAATTAACACAAAATGAAAACAGTTGTTGTAATAAGCAACATTTTTTAACCTAATTCCTTGGTAGCATTTAATTTTTCTATTAAAAAATTTTCATGTAACTGAGTCAAAGGAGTTTTTTTCAAACTTCACTCAAGCTTTCTAAATCAGAGAGTGTCATCAAGTAAGGTATCATTGGTCAGACACGACTTTCACAGGGCCGTCATTCACCCATCCCACAAAGAAACAAAGATGCCTCCTGCAGGCTCATACTGACCTGCACGCCAGCTCCTCACACCAATCTTTAGCTCGGTGTTTATGTTCATGCCATGGAACGATCATCAGGGAGTCACCGTTAAAGCTTAAATTAAAAAATAAATAAACATTTAAAACACACATCACATCAATGACTTAGCCACATAAGGAGTATGATGCAAATAGCATCTCTGTAGCATGAATCTCTAAAATTTCTCCTTAAAGCATTTTAAGTGGTACAGGATACATATTATATATATTATGTAAATGGGAAATACCATATTGCTGAATAATAAAATGGCTCAAAAAGAAAAATTACAAACAAAAAATTTGGCAAGTAATTAAAGGATGGTATGGGTAAGTTTTCACTCACATATTCTAAGACACTTATCAAGCCTGCATTGTATGTTGTTAAAACCAACATAGAAGGTCTCCTGCCCCAACAGCTTGCAATCCAGAGCAGTGCTGTTCAACAGAACTTCCTGTGATCATAGAAGTGTTTTGCAACTGTGCTAGCCAATACAGCAACCACCAGTTATACGAACATGCTCACTAGTTATAAGCACTTTAAATATGGCCACTGACATTAGAAAAGTGATTTTTAATTTAATTTTAATTAAGTTAAATGTAAATAGCCACATGTGGCCAGTAGCTACCATATTAGTTGGCAATAGCAAGAGTAGAGAAATGATTCTGCAGGTTGAAAAGTATCACTAAAAAACACAGAAAGAAAATCTAGGCCTCGTGTGGTAGCTCACACGTGTAATTCCAACACTTGAGAAAGCTGAGGAAAGAGGACTGCTTGAGCCCAGGAGTTCAAGGTCAGCCTAGGCAACACAGAGAGACCTCATCTCTACAAAAGCTTTTAAAATCAGCCAGTTGTGGTGGTGGCGCACCCATTGCACCAGTGTCCCAACCACTCAGAAAGCGGGTGTAGGAGAATCACTTGAGCCACTGCAGTAAGCCGTGATCAAGAAAGAAAATCTAAAGGAGGCAAAGATAAGGCCTGAATGAGTATAATTAATAAAAGGAAGGTAAACACAGTATGGTAATAGAGAAAAGGAACGTTCAACAAATCAGGAGACCCGAGAAACAAAAACAAATCTGTCTCTTCACAAGCTAGACAATTCTAGCACGCAGCTCTCTAAACTGAAGGGCTTCAAACATTCTTTCCAAAGACCCTTTTAGCTTTAACATCCATGAATCTATGAAAACAACGAAATCATTCTGAATTAAGAATACAGATAAAAATTGTTAAACTTCAATTGCCTTGCTTAGTTCAATAAAACATTTTCTCTAATATTTCTGGGTATCAATGGTAGCATTTTCCTTAAATTTATCATAGCCCCAGAAAAAGGATTTCACTTTCTTATATTATTAGGTTATACAACATGCTTTGCACAAGAAACACTTCATAAACGTTTGAAAATTATGTTGGTGAAGAGATTGGTCTTCATGTAAAAAGTAGTAAGAAACCACTGGAGGGTTGTAAAGCAGAAGAGAGAAGCTAATGAGGTCTGAAAAGGGGCAGGGATGATTCATCAATCAATGGCATCACCCTTGCAGTTATTATTATTGGGGCAAATTATCCAAAGTCAAGGTTCCCCATTAAATATAAAAAATAAGAAGTGTATTATATCGTACATCTAAAACACAGATTTTCAGCTAGCATGTAATATCCTAGCAAACCATGTACCAGGGATATGTTTTCAATGGTGCATGAGTCCATAATTTTTAATTTCTGAATCACACAAATGATGACTTAGAAGGATGTCACAACCATACTATTTCATCTGACACCAAATAAAAAGCTATTTTATTTGCTTCTATGTCAATAACTAGTATTTTATCACAGATCATTGAAAAGTAAAAAAGAAAAGATCTATATACAATGATGATGATGATAATACTCCTCGAATGTAGGAATAAATTATAGCAATGGATTGAGGAAGGAGGAGAAAATAAATAAACCTCGCAAGCTATTACGACCTTTCTAATTAAAGCAGACATGGCTCCTTAAGCTACATAAAATGTTTTCTAAAAGAATTTTAGAAAAATGTATCACAAGTTAGATTTGTGTTTTCTATCCGAAGTATCTGCTAGGTACAACAGTTATTAGGAATCCTCAGCAAAAAAATACTTATTTGGTATTTTGAGACTGGTAAGTTGTAAAATGGTATCTTCAGTGAACAGAAATAACAGATATAGATAGATAGATAGATAGATAGATAGATAGATAGATAGATAGATATTTTAAACAAAACACATATTACAAACAAGTTCTACTCAGGGTTCCACTCCGAAAGGTAGGACTGAAGAGTCGTGAGTTAATAAAAGTATTTTTTCTGCCCTTTCAAGGTACAGCACAGCCAGCCTGTTTCTAAATCTGCTGATCACCACTGATATAATGATAATGATGATGATGATGATACTACTACTATTACTACTAGTACTGCTGCCATATCAGCAGTGATCAGTGGCAACAATAATCCTTGGCACTTACTGATCTCTTACTATGGATTAGATACAATACAATGCTGTTAACATAAAATGTCTCAATTCAGTCCTATGAATCTAATGTAGTAGATATTATCTTCCTCATATTATAATGAGAAAACTAAAGCATTAATTAACTTGTCCATTCTAACAAAGCTAACAAATTGACAAAGCCAGGATTTGAACATAACCAGATAGAATCCAAAGCTTACACTTCTAACTAGCATACTAAACTGCCTGTAGAAAGGACATAAGGACTACAGTCTAGTCCCCAAGCACTTTTCCACCATTCTCCCTCCATGCATAAGGAGTGACCTGTCAGACCTGTACACAGAGGTAGAGGGCAATTTTTTTTTTTTTTGAGATGGAGTCTCTCTCTGTCACCCAGGATGGAGTGCAGTGGTGCGATCTCGGCTCACTGGAACCTGTCTTCGGGGTGCAAGCAATTCTCCTGTCTCAGTCTCCCGAATAGCTGGGACTACAGGGGCCCACCACCACACCCAGCTAATTTCTGTAATTTTTTTTCAGTTGAGATGGCGTTTCACCATATCAGTCAGGGTGGTCTCAAAACTCCTGACCTCAGGTGATCCACCCCCCTGGCCTCTCAAACTGCTGGGATTATAGGTGTGAGCCACTGCACCCAGCTGGTAGAGGGCAATTTGAGCCTTTCCAAGATTAAATATAGACAATCCAAAAAAGACCATTTACATGTGTATTTAAAAGATACATTTAAACAATGATTTATAACAAATACATTACTAGTCTAATAAAACTAGTATCTACAGAAATTGATTTTAGGTTTGATCACTGATGTTCATATAAAAACAAAAAATTCCTTCTTCTTGCTCTGTTTATTCCAGGATGTTTCTACAAAACAACGTATTTAAAACCAAATTTTAGGCATTTAGAGTGGTTATAAAATCACCGTAAGTTCTTTATTTTGCTTCAAATGATAACATTTGAGAAATAAACAGGATCTTCTCTCCAGCCAAGATAAAAACCCCTTAAAGTCAGGATTCTTGTTTGTCTAATGCGATATATATCCTCAACACCTAAAATAGTCCCTGACATTGAGCAGACTCGAAAAACTATATGTAGATTGAATTAATTAATTGACAACACACAAAGAAAATTTTAAAGTGATCTCATGGATATCACAAAAATTTAAGATTGGAATATAACAATGGAAGGTGATAGTTTGTTCATAAAAAAAAAAAAAAACAGGTATGTCAAGGAGGTATGTTTATATAGAATCTGCACACCTGAGAGTAAGAATAAAAACACTTTTCTAACACATATTATTAAACTGATGAAAGGGCAAGCTACACCAGTAGTAATGGCATACATCTACTAACTGGGTAGTTGGATATCTCATTATATCTCAGTTAATTAAAAAAGACAAGCATACAACCCTAAATGTCATCATTCTTTACATTTCAAATTAATTGATTGGTTCTGTTCCTACCTTTTAAAAAATGCCCAAACTTTAGTTACTTATTCTTTCATTAGGTAAGCAGAATAATAGAATGTTTAAAAGTTCAGAGAAAACTCTTTTCATGGATTCTATTCACAATTAAAGTATTAGACATTAAGTCAATTACTAAAAGGGTTAGGTGAAATTGTAGCTTGAAAAAAACCTAGAAGTCATGCTGTTCCTTCTACAGAACTATAGAAGCTTTGGATAAGTGTAAGACTTACACTTTGAATCTAAAGTTCTATAAACATGAAACTGCATTTACGTATACTTTATTTCATCTTATTTGTCTATTTTTTTCCACTGCTTGGGAAGTCTTAAGATTTAAATATATCATCTCCACTAAAAAAAAAATCAGGGGGAGTGGGGGGAATTACATGGTAAACTCAAATTATCTCTTTACAAAATAATGGCTGCTTTTGCTTAATTTTAGGATTCTTTATATTAGAACCCTATTCATTGTTTTATTTCAAACAATAAACTATGCTGGTTTTCATCTGAAGGTAACATTTATCTGTCAGCAGGAAAGGAATGAATATAACAAGTTCTATTATATTCAACAATTCTCCCACCAATTATTTCTCACACTAAATATAAATGTTTTATTTCAAAGAAATTTCATGAAGAATCAACTTTCAAAAAGTTCTTTTATTCATGTTCTATGCCTTGGAAACAAAAGGTTAAATAGACAGTATATTACCCATAATTGCCACCTTTTAGGCTTTGGCTTTAAAACGCACAGTTGTATTTATTTCTATTATTTAGCAGAGAATAAAATGTTCTGGCAAATAAAGAATAAAAATAATAATAATTTAGGCCTACATGGATAACTACACTGTGGTTACCACCGCTGAACAAGTCAAATTGATCTGAAACTCAATGGGAGACCAATTAAAAAGCTAGTTATCACCATAACACAAAGTTGAAGAAAAGCTGTCTGAAGGCATTATTCAGAGTTCTCTTCAGGACCAATGGAATTCAATTTCATTTAAAAATAACTTAGAAAAAAGGGTAGAAACTAAGAAGACATTTTGAAACTTACCAGTATTCTCAGAGGCTAGCAATGAGAGACAAGAGTGAAAACAACAGCATTCTAGGATTGGATTCGCCTCCTCCCACGACCAGCTTAATCTCCG